TGGCCAAAAAGCTGAAGGAGCAGGCAAAGGAGCTGGATATCAAGTAGGAATAACAGGGCTGCCCCAGAGCACCAGCACGGTGGGATGGGCTTGCCACCAGGAGAGATGGTTTATGCTTCTTCCTTTTGGCAGCCTGAGCTCCGGTGAAGAGGAGGAAGGCAAAGAGGAGGAGAAGAACGAGAAGAAGACATTGCCAAGAGCCACAGCTGATGAGGTGGCGAAAGAGGAGGAGGAGGAGGTAGAGCTGGCATTGGCAGAGATGAAGGTCAAGGAGCTGGCAGAGTTAAAAAGGTAAAAGGAGCTCAGATGAGGAGAGATGGGGGAGTACCAGGCCAGCAGAGCATAGGGGGGCTCCAGCCATGAGGACAGAGGGTGGTTGTGTCAGAGCCTGTCCCTCTGTTGACAGCAGGTGGGTTTTGTGGGCCTGGGGTCCTCGGGGTCGTCTGCTCCTCCAGGCAGGTGAAGCGGCTGTTCCGCTGTTTCAAGCTGGCATGGGCCCCCTTTGCCACAGGGTTGGGGACCCCTCACAGAGGAATAACAGTGCTGCTGGGTCCCCAGTCCTGGGGGAGATCCGGCACCAACGTGGCAGTGGATGAGCCATTGCAACGCATGTGTGTCGGGGGGGGATCCTTTGCCTCCCCTAGAAAGAAGAAGAAGATCCTGAAGGAACAACGGAAGCAGCGTGAGCGTGTGGAGCTGAAGATGGACCTCCCTGGTGTCTCCATCGCTGATGATGGTGACACCAGCATGTTCTCCCTCCGGAGTATCCACAGGACCCCGGTGCGTGGGGCAGAGGGAAGCCAGGCCCCCAGAGCCATTGGGGCCGGGACAGTGGCAGGCACATGGCTGATGCGCTGTAGCTTGTGACTCCAGTCTCACTTGCATTGCAGCTGCTGAACGAGGTGACCCGGGGGGACATGGCGTCAGCAGATGCCCTCCTGGAGATAGGACCAGGGGACGATGACATTTGTGTCTCGGATCACGAGGAAGATGATGATGATGATGTGTCCCTGGCTAGCGATCTGGACCCAGAGGAGCTGGTTGAGATAGAGGCCCGTCAGCGCCGGCTGGAGCGGGAAAGGCGAGAGCAGGGTGCAAAGAGGTGAGAGCTGGGAGAGGCCCCCCTGGGGCAGGGGCTTCCTTTGGAGCAGCTCCGGAGTCTGGCAGTGGGCACACCCCATCCTGGCTGGGGAGCACTGATCCTGCTGCTGTCTGTCACAGGGTGAAATTTAAGCAGAAAGAAGAGGAGGAGGAAGGGGAGGAAGAGGAGAATCCCCTGCTGGTGCCCCTGGAGGAGAAGTCGGTCCTGGAGGAACGGCAGACCAGCCTGTGGTTTGGGAAGGTGAGTCCTACTGGGCCAGAAATGACAGGGCAGCCTTGGCCCCAGCAACTCCCCAGGTCTGCCCTGCGTCCCCTGACCCGCTGCTTCCCATCCCCAGGACGCCTTTGCCGGCATCGAGGACGATGCGGATGAGGACCTGGAGCTGGGGCAGTCACAGATGTTGGCTGAGAAACAGCGCGAGTGTCAGAGAGGTGAGTGAGGGGGCTGCATCGCTGGCGGGGGGCACAGAGGGACAGCCCCACAGACCTGTCTGGGACACTGGATCAAACCATGGTGTGGACGCTGCTCTGAGCAGGACCGGAGATCTCCAGAGGTTGCTTCCAGCCTGTGTCATTACCCGGTTAACGAGCTAGCATTATTGTAGCATTAATGAGCTGGGTCTCTAGAGGAATGATCTGCACTGGGGTCTGCCTCAAGCCTTTCTCACCAGTGGTTCTTGTTCCCCAGAGAAAGCAACAAGGAAAGGGCAGCAGAAGAAGGAACCCCAGGAGGAAGCTCCAGCTGAGCCCCCACCTACCACAGACGGAGGACCCGACGCTGGTAAAGCACAGGATGAGCAGAGCAGTGATGATGACAGCAGCAGCGACGATGAGAGGTGAGGGCTGAGAGGGGGGCAGTCTGCATGTTCTCCCCCAGCTCCACAGCCCCCAGCCCTGACCACTCTCCTCTCCGCAGGCCACTGACACCGGTGGGGAGGAAGCGGGGCCGTGTCGAGCCGTGTGGCTTCGAGGTGGTGCCCATTGAGAACCCAGGTGAGTGGGGGGTGCTGTCTGGACCCGTGTGCGCCCAGTAATACCGTGTGAGTCCCTCTTCAGGGACAGGAGGCAGGGTCAGACTGTGCTTTTCTGGGCTGGTAGAGCTGCTTGCTGCTCCGTGGGTCTCAGGCTGCTTGCAGGTAGGCCAAGCTTTAATCTGTCCATGTGCTGCAGTGAAAAGAGCCCGTGTCCTGGATGCAGAGGGCCTGGCACTCGGCTCCGTCATCGCCACCTCTAAAAAGGCCAGGCGGGACCTGATCGATGACTCCTTCAACAGGTACTTGCAGCTGTGGTTGCTGGAGGGGGAGCAGCGCTTGGTCTCCCAACAGGAGACAGGCCGTGGGGGTGGCAGATGTGTTGCTGTGGGTACCCCACACCCTGCTCACAACTCACCCGAGTCCCACCCCCCCAGGTATTCCTTCAACGAGGATGAGGGGGAGCTGCCTGAGTGGTTCACGGAGGAGGAGAAGCAGCACCGGCGCAAGCAGATACCCGTGGACCGGCAGACAGTTGAAGCGTATCGGCAGCGCTGGCGTGAAATCAACGCCCGCCCCATCAAGAAGGTGGCAGAGGCTAAGGCCCGCAAGAAGCGGCGGGTGAGTGGGGCTGTGGTCCTGGACGGGTGCTCTGTTCCCCCTCCCAGGTGCTCTGTCCCTCCTCTGATCCCCCTTGTCCCTCGCCCTCGCCGTCCCTACAGATGCTGAAGAAAATGGAGCAGATGAAGAAGAAAGCAGAGGCCGTGGTGAGCACGGTGGATATCTCGGAGAGGGAGAAGGTGGCCCAGCTGCGGCGGTGAGTGATGAAGCTGGGATCCAGATCCTTCGTGTCATGCTGGGCTCGATCACGGGGACAGCTGCTGCGTGTAACTCAGCAGGGCTGGAAAAGGCTGGGCTAGATCCGGGTGCAGGCAGAGGGGTGGGAGAGCAAGCGAGGGAGTCCCATCTTGGGGCACGGAGCCCCAGAGGAGTGGGACCCAGTATTGGTCTTCAGATACGTGCCAAAGCCAAACTGCTGGAGCTGGGCCGGGGTGCTGGGGTGTCAGTCTCATCTTTTGCCGTTCTCCCGCAGCATCTACAAGAAGGCTGGGCTGGCCAAGGAGAAGCGGCAGGTCACCTACTTGGTGGCTAAGAAAGGCGTAGGACCCCGGGTGCGTCGTCCTCCCGGCGTCAAAGGCCAGTTCAAGGTGGTCGACAGCCGCCTGAAGAAGGACGTGAGGGCTCAGAAGCGCAAAGAACAGAAGAAAAAACGCCATAAGTGATGTGGGACCAGCTCTGTCCTCAGCGAGGGACTCTGCCTGGGGCACAACTGGCTCCTGTACTCCCACCGCGGCCTTGGGAGCAGCCGGCTCGCCCTGCCCCTCTCCCCCATCATGGGGACAGCGCTGTGACTTAGCGACACGTTGCTGTTGGTCAGTGCCTTGATGTGACGTTGCCTCCTGTCCTCCGGCAGGGCAGGGAGGGTTCATTTGGCCTCAGCGCTGTAGCATCAACCCCCTTCCTGTGCGCGCTGTGTGGCCACATCACCCGGCCTCTCACCGTTGCTGGCTCTCGTGGGAGACTGCTGCATTGCGGAGATGGCACGAGCATCCACACCAGCCCTCACTGTCCCCAGAGAGGTTGTGGTCCAGGGCGACAGCTCCCTGGGCCATATTTGTCACCGAAGTCGCAGGACGGTGGGTGCTGAGCCCTGAGGCAGGCAGGTGTTGGTGGTCTGCACAGAGCAGCTCTTTGGCTACAGCAGAATTAAACCCTGGTCTGAGGATGCCCCAGGATGTGTCCTGCATCTTGATGAGGTGAGGGGCCTGCACTGCGAGCTGCCGTGTGCCTTTGTGTGCTGTTTGGTAGAGAGGAGCGTAGGGTGGATGGGGTCTGCGCACCTCTGCTAACACCCTGGGGAGCCCACCTGCCTCCGCCCACCTCATTTTATCTCTGGCAAAGAACAGAACAGCAGCTGACTTGCCCGACATCCACAGCAACCACCCCATCGCCACTGCCCCTCCATCCCTACCCTCTCCAGGTATGGGACCCTGCAAGTTTTAAGAAAAGAAAGACCAAGAGAAAATACGCGCTTGAGCAAATGTATTTATTTAGACCCAGGGCAGGGGCTGGGGGGAGTGCGGCTTCCCTCCGCCAACGAGTGCCTGAATCTGATTTGATGGGACTGGGGAGGTGTCTCCAGGTCCCTCTTAGTGACAGCATCACCATGTTAGTGCCAGGGAGGGGGCCAGGGTAGCACCGTGACTCCCAGGGAGAGCAAGACAGGGCGAGTGGTGGTGGGGACCTGCTGGGGAAGGGACAGTTGGTCTGACGGGAGGGAGGAGGGCTTGCTCCCGTTGAAATTCCGTGGGGAGTGGAGAGGCCAGACCTGGTGCCCCGAGCTCCCTCAGGGCGGTAGCGGGGAGATGCACCAGGGTGTCCCTGTAAAGCCACCGCTTGGCTGCTCAACCAAAGTCAAATATCTGTGGCAGGGGCTCGCGGAGCAGCGAGACGTCTCCGCCCGTGGGTCCATGTCAGCCCCTTGGCTGTGGCTCTTCTGGGACCTGGTGGGTTGGGAGCTGCGCTACAGGGAGAAGTGGCCGAGTCTGGAGCGAGCTGTGCCAGGTGCCGGCGGTGCCCTGAGCGTCTCCGGGCCACGTTCTGCCCCCGTGGAGGGTCGGGGCCATGGTCAGGGGGAGCAGAGACCATCAGCTGTCCCGGTCCTCGGTGGCTGAGGGAGTTGGGGCGAGCGGAGGGGACCAGCTACCAGGCTTCAGGCTGTGCTAGAAGTTTTCCCGCTCCTGACCATCAGCCTCTTCAAAATCAAATACAGGTGTGCTGTGAGAGGAGAGCCCCTCTGCACCCCCAGCCACCCTTGGCTGCCCCTGTCCCTCCCGCTGAGCTCCATCCCTGGGAGCTCAGTGTCTCATCCCCTGCGTGACCCCAGACCCATGGATGGGGAGCTCCGTAAGGTGCACAGGAGGAAGGCCAGGGCTCATGGGGGTCTGAGCCCCCTCAAAGAGGCACAGCTCCTCTCTGCACCCCACAACCTGCACACCTGGGTCCTCCTTGACCTCTAGCTCCCCAAGCTCTGGCCAGCAAGTCCCCATCGATCAATCCAGGGCTCCAGGCTCCTGGCTGGGCTCCTCCATCCCCACTCGCTGCCCCCCTTCCTCTGGGTCCAGGGGCTCAGCGCAGCCCAGGTTGGCCCATCAGGGTCAGCGGGTCCCCGTCAGGGTCCCAACGGTGGGGTGACCCCTCAGCCCTGTCAGGCTCGGCCCCTACCTGAGCTGCAAGGTGCACTGTAGGCAGCATCTGCGCGGTCACCTGCAACGGGAAGGACGATGACCAATAGGCTCAGGGTGAGCCGCTCCCGTTAACGAGCCAAAGCTCGTCAACGTGAACTGAAAGCTCAGCCAGACCCGCCCTGAGCCATTGGGGTTGCAAGGGGTGGCAGCGGGGCCAGGCAGCCCTGCGCCACGTCCCCAGCAGGGCTCACCCGTCTCGTAGTAGTCGTACAGCGTCACAGTGGCCGGCTGAAGGTTCCTCACCGGGAAGTCCTGCGTGGCGGTGAAGGCGAAGGTCTCCTCCTCCTTTGTCAGCTGTGGAGATGGCCCAGGGGTGAGGTGCGACCGTCCACGACAGGGAAGCATCCCCACGCCCCAGCGTGCAGGGTCCTGCTCCTGTCCCCATGCCCCATCTCACCTGGTCCAGGTAAATTGTCACCTGGTCGGGCTGCACCTCCACCTTCTTCACCAGCTTCTGCCTCTTCAGCTGGAGGGACACAGCTCAGGGTGGGCCACGGCTGCTTGGCGGGTGCCCCAGCCAGGGCCAGCATCCCGAGCGGGTGCCCCTCCACGTCCCGCTGCCCCCAAGGGGCAGGGACTCAGTGGCAGGGTGGGTACCCCCGTGGAGCAGAGGGGGTCCTGGGGGCAGCGGGGGCTTCTCACCTCCACCATGGAGCTCTTGTCAGGGA